CAGATTACTTCTTACAATCTCAGTTTAGCGTTGTCTTTTTTTCTGGACAGATGAGCACCCTTCCAAACAGAGCATTAAGCTGAAGTTATCCATCTTTGTTATTGACTAAGAATATCTAGGGGACCGATATGCAGCTCAAGAGGATTCCTAGAAATAAAGATAACGCTGGAGGCTAATGGTTGGCTTAGCTACATCCTGGCTTCCCATCCACTTTAAAGAATCTTAAAAAAAAATAAGGCCAGGTAAAACAGGGACCCTGGGCAGGCATATGAGTGCAGAGCCCAGTTCTCATTCTAAGTAGGATCCACTTTTCTTCCGAGAGTCAAAGAAGCAATGAGTTATAAGTGTTATCCTCTGAAATATACTGTGCCTTTCTTTGTGCTGGCCTAGGTTCACAGTTTTCACACAAAAACAAAGAGAAATTTCTGTTGCTTTCCATTTTTCCATCATAGAGTCTTAGGAGAAGCAACCAGCCAGAATACTCCCTTCTAGATGAGATTTGAGGTGCCCTCGCAGGTCCTAGGTCTAGTTCCCTTTCATGAAGTGGGCCCTTCTGTCAACTGATGCCTCACATCCTCTTGCTTGACCATGTAATCCCAGATGCTTTGGCATCCAAAATACTATTGTCTCTCACTAGCAAACTGCACCTGGGCATGGGGAAAATTACCGCTCTGCCTCTTTTCTTTCCCATTGTTTCCCAAGTTGTGCTTCTCCACTCTAAGTTGAATTCTAGCCTGACTTTGGAACAATCAGACCAGTGTTTCCCAGCCATGGTGATATCTCAGGGGACCAGGAGACACCCCCCACCCTCGCCTTCCCCTCCCTGAGGCTATTTCTCCATCTGAAGATTCTTCCATCTCTCACGCCGGCTGAAGATGACCCTTTCTAACCAGGCTTGATGCAGCTGAGTAGAGGTAATATAATTACACCATTTGAAGTAGGCCATGGAAATGAACAGTTCCCCTGGGTAGAAATTACCAAACTCTTGTTTGTTCTTTTTAAGCGATGGGATGCAGATATTCAGGTTATGGTCTCAGTGGGCCTGATTTAAAATGCTAAAGTAATTTTTTCCAATGTGCATTAGCACATTTTCTGGAAAAAACACAGAGTAACTATATTTATCAGAGTTAGGTGCTCTAAATATAGCTAAGCACAAAATTGTCACATGGGATTCATAAAACATAGCCAGAACTTACAGAATTTAGATACAGGTGCAGAATTTTAGTTTGTCATAACATATTTTCTTAAAAGTAGTACATTTTGATGTGATATTAGAAATGACTTAATTATTTTTATAGTTTTTGTGCAACAGTTATGCCAGACTGGGATATCCAGGGACATTTCAGAGTCCTGTGAGGTAACAGAAAAATAATAATAAAAGTAGGATCCTACTCCAAGGATTTTCTCTGAAAACATAACTTCAGTCATTCATACTGACAAAACCTTTTCAGTGTATGTCTGACATTCATGTTTTTAAAAATATATATTTTACATTTTTAGAGAATAAAATCATATATTATCATTCACATGAAGAAACCAATTGATCTTATGGATTAGTCAACTCTTCAGCCAGGTAGAGCCACTAATGCCTTCCAGATGTTTTAGGCTACAACTATTTCCACAGTCCCTGACCATTTGCTGTGTTGGCTACAATTTATGGAGATTATAGTCCAAAGTACTAATGAATATCATTTATTAGCAAAATCAATTTACTTGTCAGTTTCTATGATGTGTTGTCCTATTAATCTGTCCACTTTGCCAGAGCATCCATTACTTGCCAAGCCCTATGTTGACAATTTGAACATTGTTGTTGGTTTATTGCAGTGTTTCTCAACCTTGGCAACTTGAAGATGTGTGGACTTCAATTCCCAGAATTCCCC